ATATTTATTCATTTTATATTTTATTTTATTGTCATTCTATAGCCAGTGTTTTTATTTATTTGTTATTTATTCATTTTATATTTTATTTTATAGTCATTCTATAGCCAGTGTTTATTTATTTATTATTTATTCATTTTATATTTTATTTTATGGTCATTCTATAGCCAGTTTTTTTTATTTATTTATTATTTATTCATTTTATATTTTATTTTATGGTCATTCTATAGCCAGTGTTTTTTTTTTATTATTTCTTATTTATTCATCTTTATATTTTATTTTATGGTCATTCTATAGCCAGTGTTTTTTTATACTTATTATTTATTCATTTTATATTTTATTTTATGGTCATTCTATAGCCAGTGTTTATTTATTTATTATTTATTCATTTTATATTTTATTTTACGGTCATTCTATAGCCAGTTTTTTTATTTATTTATTATTTATTCATTTTATATTTTATTTTATGGTCATTCTATAGCCAGTGTTTTTTTATACTTATTATTTATTCATTTTATATTTTATTTATGGTCATTCTATAGCCAGTGTTTATTTATTTATTATTTATTCATTTTATATTTTATTTTATGGTCATTCTATAGCCAGTGTTTTTATTTATTTATTATTTATTCATTTTTATATTTTATTTTATGGTCATTCTATAGCCAGTGTTTTTTTATACTTATTATTTATTCATTTTATATTTTATTTTATGGTCATTCTATAGCCAGTGTTTTTTTTTAAATTTATTATTTATTTATTTTATATTTTATTTTATGGTCATGCTATAGCCAGTGTATTTTATTTATTATTTATTTATTTTATATTTTATTTTATGGTCATTCTATAGCCAGTGTTTTTTTTATTTATTATTTATTCATTTTATATTTTATTTTATGGTCATTCTATAGCCAGTGTTTTTATTTATTTATTATTTATTCATATTTTATGGTCATTCTATAGCCAGTGTTTTTTTTTTTTTTTTATTTATTAATTTTTTATTTTATTTTATGGTCATTCTATAGCCAGTGTTTTTTTAATATTTATTATTTATTCGTTTTATATTTTATTTTATTATCATTCTATAGCAGTGTTTTTTTTATTTATTATTTATTCATTTTTATATTTTATTTTATGGTCATTCTATAGCCAGTGTTTTTTTTTATTATTTCTTATTTATTCATCTTTATATTTTATTTTATGGTCATTCTATAGCCAGTGTTTTTTTATTTTTTATTATTATTATTTATTCATTTTATATTTTATTTTATGGTCATTCTATAGCCAGTGTTTTTTTATTATTTCTTATTTATTCATTTTTATATTTTATTTTATGGTCATTCTATAGCCAGTGTTTTTTTATTATTATTATTATTATTATTATTATTTATTCAGTTTTATATTTTATTTTATGGTCATTCTATAGCCAGTGTTTTTTATATTTATTATTTATTCATTTTTATATTTTATTTTATGGTCATTCTATATCCAGTGACATTTTTTCCTTATCCTTTATTATTTGCAATTGTTTATTATTTTATTATTATTTTTTACATTTTTTATTATTTAAATTGTTTTATTTTTGAATGACCAGTGATGCTTTTTGTTTCTTTCTTGCGTTGATTGTCTTGAATATGTGTGTATATATGTTCACTTTATAGTCAGTCAGTTTGAGTGCAAAACCATTAAAAATTAAATCAATCTTGAGATGGCATAATTTAATATATTAACATTTAAAGCCAATGTTTGTCTTATATAATCCTACAAAACACATGGCACCCCAAATGGTTTCGTGTTTAGATAAGTACACACTGCTCCTCCGTCTCTGCTTTTGTGACTGTGTGCACTGAGAAGTGTGTGTCCGTGATGTGTGTCTGTCCTCCTCAGCGATCCTCCTCCGAGAGCTCGCACCAAACTGGACGAGATCTTGGGCCGAGGGACGTCTCCTCATCTGCTGGAGAGACCCGTGACGGGAGAGAAGAGCTCGACGGGAAGAGGTCAGGATCTCAGATTACTGCGAAGGCCACGGATCACTCAAGACACCGTTAAGAGAGAATGATTCAATGACACACACAAATCACAGTCTTTCATCAGTGTTCTAGATCACATCACAGCTCAAACAGAGCAACATTCGGTTACACTTTATTTTAAGGTGTCATCGTCGCAGTGTAATTATACATATAGGTACAGAGTATTTTTAATTAACTACATGTACTTACTATAGGATTAGGGTTTGGTTGAGGGTTAGTTGCATGTAATTATGCATAATATACTGTTATTACTACAGTAAGTACATGTAACATGTGTTAATGTACATGTAACATGTAACAATATGTTACCAGGACACTGTAAAATAAAGTGTCCCATTGAATGCATGAACTCATTGATAGTGTACATGAATGCACTTCGAATCAAAGTGTCCGCCAAATGCATAAATGTGATCAATGAACGATAACCGCTGGTCCTGTTGTCTGCAGCGCCTCTGGTGGACGAGGAGGGCTTCACGTTCGGCTCATATCAGCCCACGATGGCTTCGACCCCAGAGGAACGTCAGTCCCGGAGACAGTCGGTCAGGTGAGTGCACACACACACACACACACACACAAATTGTGAAGATAGGTACTCTTAATTTCTGAGAAACTGATCAAAATGAAGGTAGTTTATGCTTAAGTTATTTTTCTGATCCCATTGGCAGAGGATTTTGCTTATAAATGTATCATGATTGGTTTATATATTTGTACTGCGACAAGACAAGACAAAAGACTGTGACTTTTTAGACACGAGGGCTGCTTGCACCAGCCAATAAAATCAAAAATTATCCAGAAACTAGATGTAATTTTTGATATTTGGGACCAAAAATTTAAGTGTTTTTTCTAGGGCTGTGCAAAAATTAATTGTGATTAATCGCATCCAAAATAAAAGTCTGTGTTTACATAATATATTTGTGTGTGCTGTATATAATTATTTTGTATATATAAATACACACACATGCATGTATATATTTAAGAAAATGTGTTATTCATATATAAAATATTTATATTTATATAATATAGATTATGTATTTATATATATATACAGAATTTAAGCACAAATAATTCTTAAATATACACATGCATGCATAGGTATTTATATATACAAAATAATTATATACAGCAAACACACAAATATATTATGTAAACACAGACTTTTATTTTGGATGCGATTAATCGCAATTAATTTTTGCACAGCCCTAGTTTTTTCTTTAATTGCGCACCTTTTTACACACAATGTGAGAAATGTTGTCTGAACCCATCTTGGTTTGACTGTATATCAGTTTATCACTGTATTGATTGATTTTATTTGCATAAATCAGTTGTATTAAAGCTTAAAAGCTTGTGTTTGGTGTCAGATTCTCGACTGAAGACGTGAGCGCTCACTCGCCCGAACATAAACCCAAACCCTCGTCACGTGCCGTCCGGCCTCGATCGGACTGGCTCGGCCTGAAGCGGGAGGAGGAAGAGGAACAGACAAAGGAGGAACCCAAACAACCCAGACAACCTGTCCCAGAAGCCCCGAAGACTCCAGCGTCTCCATCATTACCGGCTGGAGAAGAGACGCCTGCACCCGCGTCTCCTAAACCCGACTCGAGAGACCAAGACCAGGACTGGCTCTCAGGAGCGCTGAGCCGCAGGAAAACACAGCCCGGCAGCCAATCAGAGGAAAGAGAGAGCAAACAGGAAGTGACGTCGGGTCCGGCTGAGGATATGGTTCTCAGGTGAGGGTTTGTGAATGAATGTCGTGTCGGATGGAGATGCAGAGGTTTGCTGTAATGTGTGACGTGTCCGCAGCTCTAAATCAAACGCCTCACGAAGACGAGCGGACGAGCCCCCCGTCACTAACACAGAGCACAGGTACAGCCACGCTAACACTGCTGAGGGCGTGCGACACTTCATGTGACACTAACTCTATGTGTGTGTGTTTTCCAGCAGAGAGTCCACTGGCATCTCTATCCAGCACAACACAAACACAGAAACTCAACATAAACCTGGTACAGTCAAACATTGCTCTCACTATAATACTCTTATCAACTGTACAGTCATGGAAGACTCAAAGTTTTGAAGAGTCATGAAAGTTTTACTGAAAATAACTTCATAAATTACTTCTAGATCATGATTATCTAATCAAAAATTATTTTTAATTGGATTATGGGAATGTTTTCATTCATTTCAGCTGATTTTGATTTTTACGGTTAGTTTCTATTCCTGTTCAGTGAGAAATCCAATTACAAAAGTCTTCAAAAGGAATGACTTTTAAAAATTAAAATCAATAAATAATATTTAAATTTAACCAGCAATTAATGTATTTAAATACTTATAATAATTAAAATGCATTATTAAATATTACCATGACGTATTTGTATGTTCTGAAAACGAATATAGTGAAATAAATAAATAAAATAATAATAATAATATATAAATAATAAAATTATAAGAATATGTATTATGAGAATTAAATATTAACTTGATTCATAAATATTTTTTTAGGGCTGGGAAACGATTAATCGCGATTAATCGCATTCACAATAAAAGTTTGTGTTTACATAATATACGTGTGTGTAGTGTGCATAATTATTTTGTATATATAAATACACACATATGCATGTATATATTTAAGAAAAATGTGTTATTAATATATCAAATATTTATATTTATGTATAATATATATATTTTATATAAAATAATATATGTATATTGTATAATTAATTTTGTATAAATATATATAAAGTATATACATGCAAATATTTCTTAAATGTTTACATGCATGTGTGTGTATTTATATATACAAAATAATTATACACACCACACACACATATATTATGTAAACACAAACTTTTATTTTGAATGCGATTAATCGAGATTAATCGTTTCACAGCCCTAATTTTTTTATTACATTTCAGAAATCACATATATGAGAATTTACGGACCGTTTCTTAATTATCATGAAGATGCATGTTAATGACGAACATCTTATTGGTGCTGAAATGTGTGTATATGAATGTGTCGGATTACAGCGTCTGTTGTTCAAGTGTTTACACCAGCGGAGGACCTGCGTCCTGCTGTACCTGTGACACACACACACACACCTCTGGCTGCAGACAACCTACAGCAGCTGCTCTTACAGCAACAGGTCAAACACACACACACACACGTACAACACTAACACGCTCTGATGTGGGTTCATATTCAGCGGACTAATGTGTGTGTGTGTGTGTGTGTGTAGTTGGCTCAGTCTCATCTGTGGGGTTTGAGCGGCTCTCTGGACGTGAACACACACAGACACAGAACAGACACGGACCATCAGCACGCAGACGTGACAACACTGCAGAAACGCATCATTCAGCTGGAGGCACAGGTACACACACACACACACTAAAGTAAATTAAATTAAAGCAATAATCCACCAGCAGACGCTTTACTCTGACATGCTAAAACAGCAGTACCTGATTGGGAAATAAAAATGTAACTACTTAAGTCACAAAAACTGTTAAAATTAAATTAATTGACATCAGAGAACATGTGAATGTGAAGTTAAATTAAATTATATTAGCAAAATAAGGTGAAATTAATTCTGAATGCAGCTGGTGTGTGTTACAAGTGTGTTTGTGTCAGCTATTTTAACGTGGTTTGTCCGATCAGAATGCAAAACAGTGTGAAAAAATATATGTGTGTGTGTGTGTGTGTTCAGGTGAGGAGCTCACAGCTAGAGAGAGATCAGAATCAGATGCTGTTAGAAAGTGTCCAGCAGAGGCACAAACAAGACACTGAGATCATGGAGAACATGCACAGGTAACACACACACTCAATCTCAGATACACACAGACACTCATTCACACTCTCATTCACTCTCTCACACTCGCACTCTCTCACTCAAACTCACACACAAGCACAAGCAGACACACACACTACCACTCTCACTCACTCAAACTCAAACTCACTCTCTCTCTCGCTCACTCTCTCACTCTCTCTCTCACTCAATTTCAATATAGCTTTATTAGCATGACTGTGTAACACAATGTTGCCAAAGCATCAACATATTATATATAAATAATAGAACAAACACACAGAACATATATGTATAGATCATGTCATATAGATCATGTCACATGTAGCATGGTCAATAAATAAACACAGTATATATTAATAAATGAATCAATACAATTAGCTGTCTCTGGCGCTGTGAATAGCTAACACATATTTAGCCGCTAGTGCAGCTGTATTATCATCTTCTCCGAGTAACAAGAACATTTTCTCAGTGTCACTCAGACCAGAGAATGATGGGATCAAGGATTCAAATTTGGGCAGAAAAGTTTCTCTAATATTGGTATTATATATTATATACACTCACTCACTCACTCACTCACTCACTCACTCACTCACTCACTCACTCACTCACTCTCTCACTCTCTCACTCACTCACTCACTCACTCGCTCCACTCACTCACTCACTCACTCACTCACTCACTCTCTCACTCTCTCACTCACTCACTCACTCACTCACTCACTCACTCACTCACTCACTCACTCACTCACTCACTCACTCACTCACTCACTCTCTCACTCACTCACTCACTCACTCACACTCTCACTCACTCACACTCTCTCATTTAAACTCACACTCTCTCACTCACTCACTCACTCACTCTCTCACTCACTCACTCTCTCACTCACTCACTCACTCACTCACTCACTCACTCACTCACTCACTCACTCACTCACTCACACTCTCACTCACTCACACTCTCTCATTTAAACTCACACTCTCTCACTCACTCACTCACTCACTCTCTCACTCACTCACTCACTCACTCACTCACTCACACTCTCACTCACTCACACTCTCTCATTTAAACTCACACTCTCTCACTCACTCACTCTCTCACTCACTCACTCACTCACTCTCTCACTCACTCACTCACTCACTCACTCACTCTCTCACTCACTCACTCACTCACTCACTCACTCACTCACTCTCTCACTCACTCACTCACTCACTCACTCACTCACTCTCTCACTCACTCACTCACTCACTCACTCACTCACTCACTCTCTCACTCACTCACTCACTCACTCACTCACTCACTCACTCTCTCACTCACTCACTCACTCACTCACTCACTCACTCACTCTCTCACTCACTCACTCACTCACTCACTCACTCACTCACTCACTCACACTCTCTCATTTAAACTCACACTCTCTCTCTCGCACCCAAACTCTCTCACTCACTCACTCATTCACTCAAACTCTCACTCTCACTCACACTCTCTCACTCTCACACACTGAACTCATGGAGGACATGCACACACACTCAAACTGTGTTAAAAGAGCCATTCTTTACACGCATGTGTTCTGGTGTCAGAGCGCGTGTGAAGCTGCTAGAGGAATCGTCTGCTCAGCGAGAGTCCCGCTTGCGTCAGGAGAACGAGGATCTGGCGGAGAGACTGGCGGCCGTCACACGTGTGGCGGAGCAGGAGCGAGTCGAGATTCAGAACCAGCTCCAGCGCAGACTCACACAGAGCCAACAGGACCGAGACCGAGAGGTGGAGAGACTCCGAGACCTGCAGAGGTGACACACACACACACACACACACTCGCAGTGTTGGGGGTAACTCATTACAAGTAACTTGAGTTATGTAATCAGATTACTTTTTCAAGTAACTAGTAAAGTAATGCACTACTGTTAGAGTTTACAACATCATATCGGAGTTACATTTTCAAAAAAGTAACGCAAGTTACTTATTTTTCTTATTTACTGACTGACAGCTGTCCTGTCCTCATCGAAGTGCAGAGGCGCTGTGTGTAAACATGATGGTTATTGTAGTTCTAGGCAAAATGAATAAAATCAGTAAAATGCAGGATCCGAATTAGAGCCAGACCGATATATATCAGTAAGCCGATATTATCGGCCGATATTAGGCATTTTCCAAACTATCGGTATCGGCAGTTATAATGACCGATAAATGAATATTTCAAAAATAAAATAAAAACGGACGAAACACGCTTCAACCATGTCATGAGTGTTGGAGTTGTATAGTTTGTCCACCAGAGGGCACTCTACACCGTCCCTGCTAACCACAAAGCTAGCTAATGCCACGATCAGTGGAAGACCACTAACGTTAACATTAATGAGCTTTGGTTCCTCTGTTCTGTTGCGAAAATAAAAGAAACAAGTTTCTTTTTAAAATGCATTTTCATATTATTTTAGTTAAAACTCATACATAACTACAAATAACTAATGTCAGGGAAATCTGTTAATGTTTTGTTGGGCGTTTCTGAAAAAAACAACAAATATATCGGCCGATATATCGGATTTTAAAACCAACAATTATTTGTATCGGTATCGGCCTTCAAAATCCTTTATCGGTCGGCTCTAATCCGAATACTGTCATGCAAACCTCCAATAACGAAGTCAGTTCATGGTCACATGACCTGCAGATAAACATAAATCTCATCGTTTCTTTAGTAAACATTTTATTGTGAATGTTTAATTACTCTTTTCATTTTCATTTAATTATTAGCTTTTCATGAAAAGAATAAAATAATAACTTTTGCTCAAACGTATAAGCCCTTTAAAAGTTGATGGTGGTAACAGGAATAAACGGGCGAACCCACCCGAGTGTAAAACGAGCTGGTTTGTTTGACGTGTGTGTGACAGGAAGTCCATCCTGGAGATGAAGAGAGATCACGAAGAGCAGATCCAGCACCTGAAGAAGCTGAAGGACGAGGAGATCGACGCCGTGACCAGCGCCACGTCCCAGACCAGGTGAAGCCCGCCAGCGATCACACACACAGAGCAATCTCTCGCCCGCCCGCTCTCATCGTGTGTGTGTGCAGGTCTCTGACGGCCGTCATCGAGCAGATGGAGCTGTTCTCCCGCAGGCTGGGCGACCTGTCGTCTCGTGTGGAGAGTTCACATGAGCACACGGCTCAGGGGCTCGAGCTCGGAGCCAGACAGAGAGACCAGCAGCTCAGAGGTGCATCTCTACACACACACACACACATGCACATCTGCTCATAGTTCGGCTCGGTTTACACCTGGTGTTAAGATGCGTTTTAGTCGATCGGATCGGCACCTGATGTTTTATTCCATCTTCAAACACTTCTGTCCTGCTTTCTTCAATGGGAGGGTGTGTGTGTGTGTATGTATGGGTTTGCAGATCTAATGGACAAAATAAACTCACATATGAACACACCGGAGAAGACGGAAACATACGGAGAACATCAGCTTTAGTTTCTGCTCTGACAGACAGTCGAACACTGAGTGTGTGTGTTATTAATCAGGAATGGAGAGAGAACATTGTGCTTTGTACATTTTTCATCTTCAAACCAAGCCTGAGTCTTCAGCCGATAGTTTAAATCCCATCTAGCTAGTGGACTTCTCATAATGTTCACTCATTAGGTCAGATGGTCTTCTGTGGCTGTTTGAACACATTCGATCACATGAGCGTTTACACAACGGAAGCAAATCGGTTAAAGGGATATTCCACTTTTTTGGAACTAGGCTCATTTTACCACTCCCCCAGAGTTAAACAGTTGGGTTTTACCGTTTTCGAATGTATTCAGTCAATTTTTTTAGTAGGAAAAAAATATACTATGGAAGTCAATGAGACCAGAAACCGTCTGGTTACTGATATTCTTCAAAATATCAAAAAATCGGCTGAATACATTTAAAAATGGTAAAACCCAACTGTTTAACACTGGGGGAGTGGTAAAATGAGCCTATTTCCAAAAATAGTGGAGTATCCCTTTAAATGTGTTTTCGACTACTTATAGAAGTGGGCAAAAATGGACAAGCTCAAACCGGTTTTGACCCCGTTTACACCTGTATTTATTGTCGTCCACCTGTGATCCCATCGACCAAATCTTAATACCAGTAAACGGAGCATTTGAAGATTTTAGAAGAGCATGAGGAACTAGTCGTGCAATTAAAATGCATCAAATTATTTGTTTTTCCTTGAACTATGGAAGTTTTCTTTCGCCATAGTAGAATAAAAAATAAAAACGGTAACTATGACTTTTTTACTCACAGTTCTGAGAATAAAGTAAGATTTGTGAGATATAAGCTCACAACTGCACAAAAAGTCAGAATTATGAGACAAAATTATGCAATTACCCTGTTTTTTTTAAATTCCTTGGCGTAAACTGTTTTTTTAAACTGTTTGCTGTTTTTATTTTTTATTTATTCTCCCTTGTTACTGTATTTTATTTTATTTTTAAAAGCCTCCCGTGGACAGGTGTTGAAATTTAGCATGTATGCTATAATCACTAAAAACAAATGCATATGGTTCGTCCAATGTAATTGTATGTCCATGTCAAATAAAGATATAAATAAATAAAAAAGGGATAGGAGACAAAAATTTTTTATTAGAATCCAAAAATTATAAATATGTGTCTAAGCATAGAATTAAATGCCAGATACAGTTTATTTTGTAACCAATAATAACCAAAAAAACTATGTGTGAACTTTTAGTTGCAGTATAAACGAGCCCGAAACACACCGGGACTCTTATTTTGAAATGTCTGTTCTCATTCAAACATATGAGGGAGATAAAACATGCACAATTTCAACCATCTACAACACATTTCAGTATATAAAATGATTTATATGAAATATATCTTCACACCATGAAGAAAACAGTCATAATTCAATCAATAAGCAATCTATGAGCATTAAATCTGCAGTATTCGATGATTGTAAGCCACACAACAGTGCCATGTGTTCTCTTTGAATGCAATGTAATAGTCATATTAAACCATATTATGATTCCTGTTTTGCAAACTCAAATTTAAGACCTCTTAATATGATCATAAAGACTTTTGTTATAGCATTTTAAATATTTTTTTTTAGCATTTTAAATATTTTTTAAATATTATTTACCTTAAATATGAAAAGAAAAAATGAATTTAAGACGTTTTAAAAAGACCTGTGAGGCTAATTCATATTCGCACGTGCATTCCTGAACACCTTCTACAGTTCACACACATCTATTTTCAGTGGTAACTCATAAATGTGAGTGAAACGAAGGAGCTGATGTGAATGTGTGTTTGTGGCTCTCAGTGCTCCAGGAGCGTTTGAGTCAGCAGCAGCGCGAGAT